GAGACAGGGTTTCACCATGTTGGCCAGGCTGGTCTGGAACTCCCGGCCTCAAGTGATCCACCTGCCTCAGCTTCCCAATGTGCTGGGATTACAGGCATGAGCCACCACGCCTGTCAGCCTCTATTTTATAGATGTGGAAGCTGTGGTACAGAGAGGTTGAGAACCTTATCCAAGGTCAATAGCTGTGTAAGTGGAGGAGCCAGTTTGCAGCCAGCCGTGTGGTGTGCTCTGTGGTCCTGATTCATAGAGCGGGAGAGACACTACCTTGAGGGTGGCTGGGGCGCAGGTGAGGCACCAAGTAGGGAGCAGAGTAGGACTGTAGACCTGTGTACAGGCCCCTCATACACACCCCAGCGGCCAGCTCAGGGCCTAAGACACCTAAAGGTTCCAGACATTTCCAGTGAGTGGATCAGTAGCAGTGGACCTGGGGCAGCTCACTAACGGCCGCTGCTGCTTGTCCTGTCTCCGGTTTCAGGTTCCGGGGTGGCAGACCAGAGCAGGAAGAGGAAGTGCTGGGGGTGGGGAGGTGGCAGGAGACACTGGCTGCTGGAAGGGGCTCTCCTCTTCCAGGTGTGGGCAGACCCGGGTGCAGAGACAAGGGAGCTGCAGGATGTGGCCCTCCACCTGCCGTGGCCTGGTGACCTGTGCCACGTCTTGTGTCCAGCACCCACATGTGCTGAGACACCCTCACCCGCATGGACTCAGAATTCTCAGGGCTGGCTTTCGGCCACCAAAGATCTTAAACACGGTAGAAATCCTGATGGCATTGCCCCAAATTTATATGAGTTTGAAATGTTTTGTAAACGCCTGGACTGAAAAGTACATACCGACGTCCACTGAGGGCATTCTTAGACAAAAGCCTGCGAATCCCGTTGAAATTGTCAGAAAAGTCCTGTCAATAAATGATACTTGGCTGTTTTAAGGAGAGTGTCAAGGCCAGGTGCGGTGGCTCACGCCTGTAATCCCAGCACTTTGGGAGGCCGAGGCGGGTGGATCACGAGGTCAGAAGTTCGAGACCAGCCTGGCCAACATGGTGAAACCCCATCTCTACTAAAAATACAAAAATTAGCTGGGCGTGGTGGCGGGCCCTTGTAATCCCAGCTACTCAGGAGGCTGAGGCAGGAGAATCACTTGAATCCATGAGCCAGAGGTTGCAGTGAGCTGAGATTACACCATTGTACTCCAGCCTGGGCGGTAGAGTGACTCCATCAAAAAAAAAGGAAAAGGATAGTGTCCACCATCTTCAGATTCTCAGAGATATCCGACCCCAAGTCAGATCCAGATTGTGACCTTCATCTCACTGCATCCCCTTCTATTATGGGTGGAGAGGAGGGTCTAGGCCAAGGTTACGGGTGAACAGGCAGTTATGGAGCTGGAACATGGGTTTGCCGATTTGACCTGGCGTTCTTTCTGCCTGAGCGTGCCCCTCTGCAGGAGGGTAGAAGCCCCAGGAGGATGTTATAAAGAGACTGTGGGGTGGGGATGAGGTTCCTAAACTGGGTAATAATAAAGCTCGCTTTTATTGAGGGTTTGTTGTGTGCCAGACACTACCTGTTTTACATGGATTGACTCTCTTAATCCTCACAAGAAGCCTTCGAGGCTTGTCCCATTTATTCCCATTTTACAGATGTGGAAACAGAGGTGCAGAAAGTTGAGAGCTTGCCAGAGTCATACAGCCTAATCAAGGGCAGGGGAGTCAGGGTTGAAGCCAGGCAGACTGTAAAAGGAGAGCAGTGGGGAAGGAAGGAGCCCACACCCCTACCTAGGGCAGGAGGGGTGAGGACAGGAATTCCCTGCTTGCTGGGGGCCAGGCTGGTGTGCGGCTAATGGAGAAACTTCAACATTAGGCTGTCCGCTCTGAGCCTGCCACATACATAGCAAACACCTTATAAAGAGTCACTGTCCTTGATGGAATGACTGCCATAGGTACCGCCATCTCCCTACCCCTGTCCCTCCAGCCCTCATGGGTTGACCGTGGTTGTGTGCCCACTGCTGGCTGTTCCCAGCCCAGATCTGATGAGCTGGCTCCTTTGCATGGGGGTGACTTGCAAGGCCCAGGTGAGGAGCAGCGGGTGTCTGGCCCGGAGCATGCTCCTGGTGACCTCGGGTCCACAGGTCTCCAGGAACTGGGGACAGCTGGTGGTCAGCCCTGCAGCTGGGGAGGAGACAGCCCCAGGGTGTACTGGCCACCCAGCCTGCACCAGCTGAGCCCGTCGCTTCTGGGAAGCCTGCTCTGTACTTCTCAGGTCGTGCACTGTGTTCTCAGAAGGGCCTGGGTGTGCCCTGGGAGAGCAGCCACCACCCCTCTGCATGTCCTCAGAGCAGGGCATGAAGGAGAAGCCTCTGCTTGGGTGTGAGGATGTGGGGCCAACAGGAATGGTGGCGGGTGATTGCTTTTTTGAATGCTTTTATTTTAACCATAGTAAAACACGTATAACAAAATTTACCATTTTGACCACTGATGGTGGTTGGTGTTAATTTTAATTTAATTATTTAATTGTTATTATTATTTTTGAGTTAGAGTCTCACTCTGTTGCCCAGGCTGGAGTGCAGTGGCACGATCTCAGCTCACTGCAACCTCCACTGCCCGGGTTCAAGTGAGTCTCCTGCCTCAGCCTCCCAAGTAGCTGGGATTACAGGCGTGCGCCACTACGCCCAGCTATTTTTTTTAATTTTTAGTAGAGATGGGGTTTCACCATGTTAGCCAGGCTCGCCTCCAACTCCTGACCTCAGGTGATCCACCCACCTCAGCTTCCCAAAGTGCTGGAATTACAGGCATGAACCACTGGCCCCGGCCTGATTTTATTTTTTTTAGAGATAAAGTCTTGCTCTGGTGCCCAGACTGGAGGGCGGTGGTGCGGTCATAGCTCACCACCAACTCAAACTCCTGTGCTCCAGCAATCCTTCTCCGTCAGACTCCCAAGTAGCCAGAACTACAGATGTACACCACCACCCCCAGCTAATTTAAAAAAATTTTTTGTAGAGGTGAGGTTTCTCTGTGTTGCCTGGCTACTCTCTAACTCCTGGCCTCAAGCAGTCCTCCCACCGCGGCCTCCACAAAGTGTAGAGATTACAGGCGTGAGCCACTGTGCCTGTCCTGCGGCTGGTTTCTAATACCTGACCAGGTGGTAATAGCCGTGATTTGGGAGGTGGTACCATGTACCAGCTCTCATTTAATTGTTAAAATAATTCTATGACTTGGCTGGGTGTGGTGGCTCATACCTGTAATCCCCGCACTTTGGGAGGCTGAGGCGGGCAGGTGGATCACCTGAGGTTGGAAGTTCGAGACCAGCTTGGCCAACGTGGTGAAACCCTGTCTGTACCAAAAGTACAAAATAGTAGTCAAGTGTAGGCACATGCCTGTAGTCCCAGGTACTTGGGAGGCTGAGGCAGGAGGATCACTTGAATCCAGGAGGTGGAGGTTGCAGTCAGCCGAGATCGCACCACTGGGCTCCAGCCTGGGCAAAAGAACACGACTCTGTCTGGGGGAAAAAAAAATCCTATGAACTAGTATTATATCCCTATTTCTACAGATAAGAAAGTTGAGGCTTAGAGAGGTTAAGTGACTTTCCCAGGGTTGCACAGTTAGTGAGTGCCAGGACTGGGATTCAGATCCAGGCGGCCTTGGCTCCTGCTCTCTGTAGGACTTTATGCCACTCTCATCCCCAGGTGAATAGGCCTTACTATCCCCGTTATAGATAAATGAAAACTGAGGCTTGGAGAGGCCACACGACTGACCAGGGTCGCAGAGCCTGACAGGAGGAGAGCCAGGACTGAAGATTAGCAGTGGGGGCTGGGACTGCTGGCACTCATTCCGCCTGTCCCCCTGCAGGTGGCGATGGTGGAGGTGCAGCTGGACGCTGACCACGACTACCCGCCAGGGCTGCTCATCGCCTTCAGTGCCTGCACCACGGTGCTGGTGGCTGTGCACCTGTTTGCACTCATGATCAGTACCTGCATCCTGCCCAACATCGAGGCGGTGAGCAACGTGCACAACCTCAACTCGGTCAAGGAGTCCCCCCACGAGCGCATGCACCGCCACATCGAGCTGGCCTGGGCCTTCTCCACCGTCATCGGCACGCTGCTTTTCCTGGCCGAGGTCGTGCTGCTCTGCTGGGTCAAGTTCTTGCCCCTCAAGAAGCAGCCAGGCCAGCCGAGGCCCACCAGCAAGCCCCCCGCCAGTGGTGCAGCCGCCAACGTCAGCACTAGCGGCATCACCCCGGGCCAGGCAGCCGCCATCGCCTCGACCACCATCATGGTGCCCTTCGGCCTGATCTTTATTGTCTTCGCCGTCCACTTCTACCGCTCACTGGTCAGCCATAAGACGGACCGACAGTTCCAGGAGCTCAACGAGCTGGCGGAGTTTGCTCGCTTACAGGACCAGCTGGACCACAGAGGGGACCACCCCCTGACGCCCGGCAGCCACTATGCCTAGGCCCATGTGGTCTGGGCCCTTCCAATTCTTTAGCCTTACGCCCTTCCCCATGACCTTGTCCTGCCCCAGCCTCACGGACAGCCTGTGCAAGGGGCTGGGCTTCAGCAAGGGGCAGAGCATGGAGGGAAGAGGCTTTTTGTAAGAGAAATTTCTGCACTTTGAAACTGTCCTCTAAGAGAATAAGCATTTCCTGTTCTTCCAGCTCCAGGAAGAGCCGGAGGGGGCCAAAGTGGGGCCACACACTCGCTGTGTCCCGTCTCCTCCCCTGTGCCAGTGCCACCTGGGTGCCGCCTCCTGTCCGTCTCAACCTCCCTTCCGTCCAGCGTTGAGTGTGTACATGTGTGTGTGACACATAAATATACTCATAAGGACACCTCCTTCCTGTGTCTTGTTTTTATTGGGCCTGGGCTACTGGTATTATGCCTCACCCTGATTAGGTGAGCCTCTACGAAAACTTAAAACAAATTTTAAGCCAGGTATGGTGGCACACACCTGTGGTCTCAGCTATTCAGGAGGCCAAGGCAGGAGGATCTCTTGAGCCCAGGAGTTTGAGACCCCATCTCAAACAAAAAATACAAAAATTAGCCAGGCATCACACCTGCAATTCCAGCTCCTTTGAGAGATTGAGGCAGGAAGATTGCCTGAGCCCAGGAGGCCAAGGCTGCAATGAGCTATGGTAACACCACTATACTCCAGCCTGGGCAACAGAGGGAGACGCTCTAAAAAAAAAGGAAAACTTTGCTCGGCACGGTGGCTCACGCCTGTAATCCTAGCACTCTGGGAGGTCGAGGCGGGCAGATCATCTGAGGTCGGGAGTTCGAGGCCAGCCTGACCAACATGGAGAAACCC